GATATTTCACGGATTATCCAATTACGTCATCGGATTTAGATGACATTGCATAATTCACAATTGATTAAATCACATGTTAATCCGATTTGGTATAAAGAACATGTATTCTAATCAAAATGACGAGTTACAACCGATCGAAAAACCTTGAAAATGTTTGCATTCCACTCCTGTATTATAACTGCAAACGATCAATGCATACTGTCAAATCAACGACGGTTTTATTGGAAAAGTTTTAATGGCATGATGTGAAAAGAAGACTTATCCAAGCGGAAATCAGAGCCAACTTAAGGTATATTTTCCACAGAACCACAGACGTCTAATTAAAAAATTGGAATGTTGTAAATCGATGCTATCGGTTTCTCCGATATACATATTTTTTTTTTTAGAAAATCTCTTTACAATCCCTTTAAAATAATGTTTGGGCTCAATTTTTAACGGCTTTGGTGTATTTTTTGTGATCAAAACAGGATCGTTGAAATAAAATATTGGTATATCTCCCTTTCACTGAAGTAGAACCTCGCCCTAAAAGCACATAGTTGAATGAATGGTCTTTTTGTGTGACACTTATAACGTGCACTTACAAAATTATAATCTTTTATTTAAGTGCTATTTTTATTTAAGGCCATTATGATAATAATTGAAATTGACAAAGAACCCACTATTTTTTTTTCAGATTTATATAAATTTATGGTTAACATAACGTTGCTGAAAGAAGTGCGACTCATGTTTAATTTAAGTGCATTTTTGTAAATATCAACCGTTCAACAAGGAAACTGTAGCTGTAGAGGTGTTATAAATTCATTGCTAACATTAAGTAGCCGAAAGAGGTGCAGATTTAAGTGCCTTTTTAAAACTTGTTGATTTGCCATCGATGAAACCATAGCTTTTTAGAAATTTATGTGTAACAAAACGTAGCTGAAAGAAGTGAGACTCAAGTGCAGATTTAAGTGCCTTTTTATAACCCATTAATTTGCCATCAAGAAAGCTGCAGTTGTGGAGTCGTTATAAATGTATGTGTAACCTAACGTAGCTGAAAGAAGTGTAACCCAATCAAAAAGATTGTTGGTTGGTAACATATAAGATTTGCTGCAAAGAGTGCTTATGTAAGTGTCTTTTTAAAACATATTGATTTTCCATTGAGGAAAACTGTAACTGTAGAGCTGTTATAAATTCAAACGTAACCGTAATAAATTATCAAATGCGGATGATTTACAATTCTTATCAGTGTGGTTTATAGTTGGAATAAACCTTATCAGAAACAATGACAATCAGAGGAGTTCGAGTGGACAGTAAAAATGCTGATAATGATTTAAACGATGACGACGAAGGTGGGTATAAATTTTCTTAGACGTTTATACGTTTATATCTTTTCATCGTCAAACAATGGTGTTCGTTGGGTTCTGATATCAGTCGGCATATGAAAATCTGGTGACATCGAAACGTCGAAACGTTGCAACATACAAATCCAGCATCTTTACTTTTTGTAGTACAGTCGGTAAGAGTGTTTGAAACAAACTTTACACCACGTCATTCGCATGGTCACGTGGAACAAATGGTGTTCGTGGGTTCTAATCTCGGACTGTGGGTGTTAAAGTCTTGTCATCTTTCCTAATTATTCCAGTCGGCCTAGCTATAGAATCCAGGATCATTGTCAGGTTTGGCCAAGGCATACAATGGTTGTATCTTTCTTTCTTTCAAAGACGCCAGCTTTTAGTTAAATTAGAAAAACATATTATTACAAACTAATGACATAAAGCACCAATTCATTTCCTTACGGAAAGAAAACCCCGGGCAACCGATATGGATCATGGATTTTCATTCCCAGCGTTTTTACGGGTAACATAAGTTACTTCGAAAAGCGATTTCACAATAACTTCATTTTCTATGACTACAGATATCTTGGGGGCGATTATACTTCTGTTAATACTTGATAAGATAACATAAGATAACACATAGTCGATATTTTCTCACAAAGTCAATGTCATTGAGTGGTGTTTATGATTAAAAGGAAATTCGTGATGTTTTCTCAGTCCGTTCATTAAACAGTACATATAGAACATTACCAACACATGTTGCTATCCCGACCTATTGGTATACTTTTCTTCGAACGTCATAATGGTTTCTGAATTAATTTTTTACCGCAATTTCACATGTGTTCAAAACGCAATTTTCAATTGTGAGTCTTTGTCTGTAGGCTCATAGAAGGTTCCATGATCAAAATTTGAAATTAACAGTCACTCAACGCAGAAATTCCTCTTGGAATTGATCCAGAATTTTAGCTATCATGTCCATCAGTAACTTCGGATAAGCTCTAGCAATTGGAAAAGCTCACACTCTTTGAAAAGCTCACACTCTTTGAAAAGCTCAAATAGTTTGAAAAGCTTAAACAAATTGAAAAGCTCAAACAATATGAAAAGCCCAAACAATATGAAAAGCTCAAACATTTGAAAAGCCCAAACAATATGAAAAGCTCAAACATTTGAAAAGCTCAAACAATATGAAAAGCCCAAACAATATGAAAAGCTCAAACATTTGAAAAGCTCAAACATTTGAAAAGCTCAAACATTTGAAAAGCTCAAACAGTTTGAAAAGCCCAAACATTTGAAAAGCTCAAACAATATGAAAAGCCCAAACATTTGAAAAGCTCAAACATTTGAAAAGCTCAAACATTTGAAAAGCTCAAACATTTGAAAAGCTCAAACATTTGAAAAGCTCAAACATTTGAAAAGCTCAAACAATATGAAAAGCTCAAATAGTTTGGTTACTTCTGATTCGAAAAAATGATTGCCCTGGTAGGACTGTAAATAGTTTTAATTCAACGGTAACAAGCCGAAACCCTTGTCTTCCTCTCTAAGTAAGGCAACATTGAACCTTTTTGATCTTCGACACACCACTTACAATGATTCTGGTACTACTAATGCAGGCCACCCCCCCCCCCCCCTCACCCCCCTCCCTTTCCCTCCCCCCACTCCCTTTTGTAACCATGGCCGGGACACGCCATTGTTTCTTTAAAGCGACCTACATTTCTATGCTAAATACGATACCGTATGGTTGAATATTAATAATATATCATTTTACTAAACTATTCTATCGATTTTATGAGATTGGTAGAAGTCCAGCAATGATAATAATAGGTTGACAAAATGTCACAGTGATCCATGGACTGGATATCACATACTTGGGTGGAATATAGCATACTGTAATTTTTTTGACTGGATATCATACACTGTAGTCTTTAGACAGGATATCACATACTTTGGACTGTGAGTCGTTGAACTGGATATTACATACTTTGTACTGTGAGTTGTTAGAATGGAGATCACGCGGACACATATTGTAGTCTTTGGACTGGATATCACATACTTTGGACTGTGAGCGTATGGATTGGATAACACATTCTGTAGTCTTTGGACTGGATATCACATTATGTAGTCTTTTGGACTGGATATCACATACTTAGGACTGTGAGGCGTTGAACTGGATATCAAATTCTGTAGTCTTTGGACTGGATATCACATACCTTGGACTGTGAGTCTTTGGGCTGAATGCTGTAACTGAATATCTTTGAAACAAACTTCAAATATCAAATTCTGTTCCTGTTAATATCACATGCTGTAGTTTCTTTCTTCAATATCGCATGCTGTAGTCTGTGGACTGTATATCGTATACTGTAGCAAGTTCAGTATCCCACATTGTAGTCCCTGGACTGTATATCCTACAAGTCTTAGACAATGTGGAAACCTCAGGACAAATATGAAGAAGGTAAATTTCAATAGGACATTCAGAGGGATTATTCTTATTTGTTTTCTTATCTTTCAGAATGAAACTGTAACATGCGGTTCGTCTACAATTTAAAGAAAGTTACTTCGACAGAAATATTCAGGTCGTTATTACGACGTTATCGGTTGATAATTCCATATTAGGACAAAATTTTGCCATTAATTTAATTCATTCAGTTACGTTCATTTATGGACAACCGTGTACATTGGGTTATGCCCGTTGATGATCGCTCGACAGCCAAAAATATTGCTAATGTCTTGGTATCTTTTATTGCACACTGCATGGTGTTCGCAATCATAAGCTCGATAGCAGAAAACTAAGACGTAAAAATGTAATTCCAGGTCATAATTGTATCAATAATTGAAGTCGGTCCAATTATTGAGTAAAATATATCATGAAGTTAATATCGAAAACAATCTGTAACAGATGTTTTTGAATTTATATTTCATTCTATTATTCTGTTTATATTCAAGTAGAAAATGTCTACAGCCCAATTTATCTTTCAAATGACCGATGACTCTCATAACTAGGTTATAAATTCGGGCAGCCTCAAATATTTCGTCCCCTTCCCCTCCACTCTGATGTCGATGTCTCTGCCACTGTCTCTACGGCTCTAGTGTTTTTTTTTTATTTCAGATGATATGGTCAAGTCAAGTTTATGTTGTTTAGAAGGATGCTTGGCGACTACTTCTGTCGGATTTTCCTTTTTTGTTGCCTTGCCTACAGGTAATTGTTTTCTATTTATGAATGTAACTTATTGAATTAAGTAGATTGAAAGATGTTTATAGCATGTATCTTCCTGTCTGCATTTTTTTATTGTCGAATTTTATTTAATTAGCCAATTACTTTCGATTTATTTTATTGACGGCAGTGATGTGGGGCAACAGAATCGTCAGGGGGTCTCGCAGCATCAGGCACTTAAGATTTAATTTAATAAGAAGTTTGAAACTTTTGTTCCATTTATCCAGAAGGCGGAGCATGCTTCGTACTTTCAACCAAATTTTGGATTATTTTTCGATCAAAAATTGAAATATCGGAGATGTAGAAAAAAAATTAACGAATTTTTCTAATCATTCTAAGACTATCAGCACTGTTTTGAAATAGCTCTTCAGATCACCAAGACTGTATCCCAACATTAAAAAAACACAGTTTTACGCATCAATAAAAATTGACAACTTATTTTTTTTCATATTAGGTATTTTATTATTGGTCTATTCAAAGAAGGACAATGACGTCAATTTTTTCATAGCGGGCATAGTGTTAATAATTTTACCACTATTTGTGTTACTGGTCGTGATTGTCCTCTGTTTTAATAAACACCGTTTAAAACTGGACAAATTAAGATTTAGAAAGAAAACTTCGCAAGAAATGAACAGCCATGAAAACAGCGTATGTGCCAAATATTGAAAGTGGAAGATTCGCTGGCTCAGTCGAAGACTGAAGAGAAAGTTACCGCAAGTGCCAAATACAATAAAGGTGGGAATAGACGATGTCCGGTACGGTATACGCTGTGGAATGATCGACACAGTAGAAAATAGAAGTGAACACACGAGGTACGGCTCCGGACAAGGTGCGGACAAGATTCGTTTCTACTATTTCTACTGTATCAATAATCCCGCACCGGACACCGAATGATCTGTGTGGTTTAGTTAATTTTTACTTTTCTTGTATGGAATTGATATTCTTATGCTCCCAGAACACCCAATACCATTGAATTTGTCATTTGGGTGTCCTTTTAGGAGAATTTGAATTATGTCTATATCGATATATACATTATCTATCGAAGGAACTATGCGCAATGACATGGAGTTTGATGAAGATCTAATTTTCTGCTCAGAAAGATACCGTAGCATACAAGGGGATGTTCTCTAATTATGTGGTGTTGGTGTACTCTTGTACAATTTCCAAGCTCTTGACATTTGGAAATTGAACGTCATGATAGCATATGCCACCTAATGCCCGACAAATCGGACGTGATATTCGGATGGGATATCGGGATTATGTTTAAGGCCAGACATATAATGTCGGTTTCCATGGAAGTTGATTTGGCAGAACTTTTGGTGTCTGGACCTAAACCCAGTTCTGATATCCCATCCAAATATCACATCGGAGGAACTTTACTGTACATTTCTCGCGGTTTTGGGTTTGTTCTATTCTCGGTGATGATCGGAGTTGTGGAACCTTATATATAACCTTCTAACTTCTCTAAGATATTTATTATAAATTATAATGTTATGTTTTTAAATTAATTGATTTTGATTTTAAGACGATTGGTCGAAGTGTACACTCCCTTCTCTTAACTAATAGTTGGGGCCATGGATGCCTTAATGTTGAACTAGGGTACAGAGAGTTCAAAAGGTTGTGCCAAGCATGTGGACGACCACAATCCACCCAAGACCGATACATTTACAAGACAAGCTCCGCCATTGCCTGGTCAACACATTTTGTCAAGTTGCGAACTGAGGTTCCTGAAAATACACAACCACGATGGAGAAAACATATAAAAGGTACAAGACTAAGTGATGGTTTGGACAAACTTCTTGGTTCCCTTTTTCTTGGCCTACGAATCCTTTTATTTAGAGTACAATTATCTCCCCTGAAAAATTAAAATTAGTATTTGAGGATTCTTTGTGGTCTGAAAATTAAACATAACTACTACTTACTTCCCTTCGATAAGAACCCTTCATACATTGTTCAACTATCTTGACCGATATTTATCACCTAATAATGTAGCTATTTGTCAAAAGATATACGACTTTAACCAAAAAACGCAGTATATAATCGTAAATAACAACGTTCAGACACAGATTTCACATATATTTCGCAAGTAACAATAGGTTTAAACATTTGTCATTGATATTTTCATGATCTTTTGCTTCATAATCTCAAATATATTTCCACTTTTCCATCACTTTTGTAACTTTTGAACCATTGCTATTGTGTTGTAACTTTGCCATTTAACTACATACAATTTAAATACCCCATTTAAATAACCGTGTGAACTTTAATAGAAAAAATTTATAAAGGTCAAAGGTCAAATCATAATCTGTTTAAAATAAACAGAGATTATGTAACAGATCGTAACTCGATCCACCGATGTGCATCGTAAAACGGTAGAGTCTGGGTGGTCGTGGCTATAATACTTTATTCCCTCATTGCAGCAGATGGCACGTTTTGTTTACGTCTGGCTCTTTGATAAAACGTTATTCATTATGTAGTCTCGAATAAGTGAGTTGCTCGTGATGTATTGCTAGATCGACGGCGTAATCGATCGGTTTCAGTCCGTACTCTAAACAAAGCTATCTGTGCAGTCACCGCGAGAGATAGACTAGGAATAATTCAAACTGTATATTCTCTATGAAATGTGATAATTAAGAGGAATCTAACCAAACAATGCAATGAAGAAACGTTCGGATGCCAGTGATCTCATAAGAGGTAAGTAAACGAGTAAACCCCAACTCTTTCGAAGACATGGTCTGTTTGAATGAACTACATTCTAAACATTGGTGAGATATTGTATCGAACGCATGTTGAAAATCACACTGTAGAGTTTACTCTCGCTATAACGAGAAGTGGGGCATGGCTAAAAATCGATGCCGCCGACTCTCTTCCCGAAATAGACGAAAAAGACGATAGTATTGAATGGCAATATAGTTTACATTACAAAATTAGAAAATATATAGTGTTCAATATTATATGAGGCATGTTCCGTCGCTTTATGAACGCAGTGCATGATAACGACGACAATATCTAATGTTCATTGTGTACAAGGCATGTTCATTCGCATATAATTGTTCGTTTAAGGGAGGGTAGTAAGCCAGGAGCATTGAACATTATATTTTAGAACGAACTGGTGTTCAATATAATATAAGGCATGTTCCGTCTCATGCACAATTCACATTCCGTCGACGGACCTCTGTACGTCATGTTCCGTCGCATATACATTTAATGTCGATCTTCTTTACGAAGAACAGTAGGTCAGACGTAGACGTAGACGATAGTTCACTTAAGATATGTTTTGTACCTTAAGGATGTTTGTTCAGAAATCAGCATTGGTCACGAACGTCAAGTTTTCCTTACCGCACACTCGAATAACAAAATGAATGCCTTGACGTTTCGGAGCATGACGTTGTATTGGCGTTGAAGTGGGCATTGTATGTATGTATTCACGTGTTGTTGACCATAGTTACTAATAATAGTAACAATTGACATGGAAAATCGGTCGTCATTGTGTTTGTATGAAAAATACCAGGTCATTGCCCTTGCGTGTGTACCTTGACTCATCCCCTTTTGGTCTTTTAAAACCTCGGGAGTTAACAGAATAATTAAATGTAGAGAGAGTAAATGGATTAGCGATCATCTTTGCTACAGTCATCTGTTCCAGATACGAACTCCTCATCAGGGCAGATAGTCTGCGATATCAGCTTCTGCTTGAAGCGGACATTAAGAAAGTTTGGAAAAATGGTTCACTTTCCAATACGGAATAGAACATATGTAATATATATATTGTCGACTCAATGTATTCGCAGCTTTTCGGGACACCAAGTGCCACTCTGCGACTGTGCTTATCAACTTGGCATCCCTTTCATTTCGAACATTCATAACACATTATCTCATCGCAGATATTTTGACAGAACCTTTAAACAGATGTTGCAGAATCTGATACGAAATTTGGCAAATCATTTAAGACGCACAGCCAAATGCCTCGAGCAAGAAAAACTAAAGATAACATTATGTTGAAATCTACACAGACTGTTGTCAGAAAATCTGTAAGTTACAATTGACGTATCTGGTTAACGTGTAGAAATCAATCTCCAGCCAGTCTTTAGATACCAATACGAGTCCGTCCACCAGGTGGCGTATATAAGCGGTAATTTCTGGGCCTTACCCCCCTCCCTCGGCCCAATTAAATAAAAAAAAATGCATTCTACTTACACTTCTAAAATCGCATTAGACTTCGACAATTATTTGTTCTTTTGGTGGGGGCCCTTCTCACCCCACCATGACTAGTGCTCTAAAACTGCAAAGGGACGCTGAGACGCTCGGGTGGTTCAAGCTCCCCCCATCCCCCATTTTATTTCGAAATACATATTGCCTTATTGTGCACTGGTCTCGACGTTTTCCTCATTGCGCAACAAATACTGCTATAAAGTCTTAGAAAAAATCCATGTCATTTCTGCGGTATAAACGTGCTATAGAAATGATGAAAGGTAGTTTGTGAACATGCTGTAAATAATGAGAATTTTTCCCATGATGATTTTCAATTAAATGTCAGAGGGCCTCGAGTTTACTCTAATTAAATTATTATATATAATTATCAACTATTCAGTATTGCAATCATGTGAAAATGTTATCTACTGATCGTGCCAAGATTTGTAATCGTTGTTTTTCTGTTGAATTAAACGTAATTTTACGCTCTACACTATCTTGTTGTATTTTCGCTCTGGGCATAGTTTCTTGGTTGTATCATGTACATTATTAAGATGAATATTTTGTAGTTCAGTCGTTATTTTTCCTATACATCATTTATATCTCGTCTCCAGTTCCACCAAAGTTTTATCTAACGAAACTGATCTTGCATCGGACATTTAAAACTGCGTGCGCAACCAAAAATTAAAAAGTCACAGAGCCACGTGATTCTAACAAAACGAAAGTTATGGCGATGCTTAACACTAATTTACAGTCATCGTAATGGTAATTAAAAATTAAAAGGGCCTATTTTTGCTGACTCTACTCAGGCCGACAACTGTCACAATATCCACCAGAGGCTGGAATAGATGTAGATGTTTCGGACTAGTGAAAAACTGTGATACCAATTAGAAGATATGAGGTCACTATTGGGATTAATTAATTAATTATAACGACCTGATGGTGATGTTGATAAGAAAATATCGTTACTAATTGGCGTGAATTCGGCTTAAAACACCTGATCTCATAGTTTGTAACCTTTTAAATACTAATGGCTTATTGAAGGTCGCCAGATTTTTTTTGCATCCTAATGGAAAATCAACAAATTACCGACGTCAAACTGGTAACGTCGTAGGATTACTATTACATCAATTGTTTAGAAGGCCAATTTCTGCTTATTCTCAAAAGTGTTATGGTTAATCCCTTTAAAGAGACAGACCCGCCATCCGTTTGACCAATTGTACTTTGGTAACAGAAACGGGAATTTTTACCTGAGATAATCAGTAATAGTGTTCACAGCTCACCGTCGAAATTTGGCCTTCCAAATCTACATATGTCCAGAATTATCCGACGCGTTTGAATGTTAAAATGACGACTCGTCTTTTCTTGAGACTTGAAACGACATCTAAAGAAATAGAAAAAGAAATTCAAAAGCCTAAGGTATATTTGAAGTAATTATATGGTTTTCGTATATTTCTAGTACTCCCGAAGAATATTTA